TGTAGAGATTGAGGGATGGACTTAATTATGTTGTGTAGGGCAGGGGATGGACTTGGTATGTTGTGGGGTGAGGGATGGACTTGTTATGTTGTGTAGGGTGGGGATGGACTTGGTATGTTGTTGTGGGGAGTGGGGATGGACTGGTATGTTGTTGTAGGGTGGGGATGGACTTGGTATATTTGTGTACGGAGTGGGGATGGACTTGGTATGTTGTGTAGGGGTGAGGATGGACTTGGTATGTTGTGTGGGGTGAGGGATGGACTTGGTATCGTGTGGGAATTGAGGGATGGACTTGGTATGTTTATGTGAAATTGAGGAGGATGGACTTGGTATGTTGTGTAGGAGTGAGGGATGGACTTGGTATGTTGTGTGAGGTGGGGATGGACTTGGTATGTTGTGTAGGGAGTGAGGGATGGACTTGGTATGTTTGTGTGTAGGAGTGAGGGATGGACTTGGTATGTTGTGTATGGGGTGAGGGATGGACTTGGTATGTTGTGTAGGGTGGGGATGGACTTGACCATGTTTATTAGCCAGGGGAGTGAGGGATGGACTTGGTATGTTGTGAAGGGAGTGGGGGATGGACTTGTAGTATTGTGTAGTGGTGAGGGGAAGGACTTGTAGTATTGTGTGTAGGGTGGGGAAGGACTGTAGTGTGTGTAGTAGTGAGGGAAGGACTTGTAGTATTATGTAGAGGTGTGAGGATGGACTTAGTATGTTAATGTGGGGAGTGAGGGATGGACTTGGTATGTTGTGTGGGAGTGGGGAAGGACTTGTGGTAATTATGTAGGGTGAGGGATGGACTTGGTATGTTGTGTAGGGTGAGGGATGGACTTGTGGTATGTTGTGTAGGAGTGGGGATGGACTTGGTATGTTGTGTGAGGAGTGAGGATGGACTTGGTATGTTGTGTAGGGTGAGGATGGACTTGGTATGTTGTGTGTGGGGTGGGGAGATGGACTTGTGTGTTTGTGTAGGGTGAGGGATGGACGTTATGTTGTGTAGGGGTAGGGGATGGACTTGGTATGTTGTGTAGGGTGAGGGATGGACTTGGTGTTGCCATGTGTAGGGTGGGGATGGACTTGGTATGTTGTGTGGGGTGAGGGATGGACTTGGTATGTTGTGTGGGGTGGGGGATGGACTTGGTATGTTGTGTGGGGTGGGGGATGGACTTGGTATGTTGTGTGGGGTGAGGGATGGACTTGGGTATGTTGGGGAGTGAGGGATGGTCTTGGTATGTTGTGGGAGTGAGGGATGGACTTGGTGTGTGGGGTGAGGATGGACTTGGTATGTTGTGTAGGGGTGAGGATGGACTTGGTATGTTGTGTAGGGTGAGGATGGGCTTGGTGTTGTGTAGGGGTGGGGATGGACTTGGTATGTTGTGTGGGAGTGGGGGATGGACTTAGTATGTTGTGTGAGGTGAGGGATGGACGGTGTGTTGTGTGGGGAGTGGGGATGGACTTGGTATGTTGTGTAGGGTGAGGATGGACTTGGTATGTTGTGTAGGGTGAGGATGGACTTTGATGTTGTGTAGGGAGTGGGGGATGGACTTGGTATGTTATTGTGGGGAGTGGGGGTTGGACGGTATGTTGTGTGTAGGGTGAGGATGGACTTGGTATGTTGTGTAGGGTGAGGGATGGACTTGGTATGTTGTGTAGGGTGAGGGATGGACTTGGTATGTTGTGTGGGGAGTGAGGGGATGGACTGGTATGTTGTGTGGGGTGAGGGATGGACTTGGTATGTTGTGTAGGGTGAGATGGACTTGGTATGTTGTGTAGGGAGTGAGGATGGACTTGGTATGTTGTGTGGGGAGTGAGGGATGGACTTGGTATGTTGTGTAGGGTGAAGGATGGACTTGGTATGTTGTGTAGGAGTGAGGTTGGACTTGGTATGTTAATGTGGGAATTGAGGGATGGACTTGGTATGTTGTGTGGGGTGAGGGGATGGACTTGGTATGTTGTGTAGGGGTGAGGGATGGACTTGGTATGTTGTGCTGGGGTGAGGAGGTTGGACTTGGTATGTTGTATGGAGTGAGGGGATGGACTTTGCTTAGTATGTTGTGTGTAGGGTGGGGATGGACCCTTTGGTATGTTGTGGCAAGATGGGGATGGACTTGTAGTATGTTGTGTAGGGTGAGGATGGACTTGGTATGTTGTGTGGGAGTGAGGGATGTATGGACTTGTAGTATGTTATTAGCCAGGGTGAGGATGGACTTGGTATGTTGTGTAGGGTGAGGGATGGACTTGGTATGTTGTGTAGGGTGAGGGATGGACTTGGTATGTTGTGTGGGGAAGTGGGGATGGACTTGGTTATGTTGTGTGGGGAGTGGGGAAGGACGGTATGTTGTGTGGGGTGAGGAATGGACTTGGTATGTTGTGTGGGAGTGAGGGATGGACCCGGTATGTTGTGTGGGGTGAAGGGATGGACTTGGTATGTTGGTAGGAGTGAGGATGGACTTGGTATATTGTGTGAGAGTGAGGATGGACTTGGTATGTTTGTGTAGGAGTGAGGGATGGACTTGTTGTGTTGTGTAGGGTGAGGGATGGACTTGTGTTGTGTGGGAGTGGGGATGGACTTGGTATGTTGTGTAGGGTGGGGATGGACTTGGTATGTTGTGTAGGGGGTGGGGATGGACTTGGTATGTTGTGTGGGGTGGGGATGGACTTGAGGAACATGTTGTGTAGGGGTGAGGATGGACTTGGTATGTTGTGTGGAGTGGGGATGGACTTGGTATGTTGTGTGGGGTGGGGATGGACTGGTATGTTGTTGTAGGGGGTGAGGGATGGACCCGGCATGTTTGTGTGGGGATGGACTTGGTATGTTGTGTAGGGAGTGAGGGAAGGACTTGGTATGTTATGTAGGAGTGAGGGAAGGACTTGGTATGTTATGTAGGAGTGAGGGAAGGACTTGGTATGTTGTTTAGGAGTGAGGGAAGGACTTGGTATGTTGTGTAGGAGTGAAGGAAGGACTTGGTATGTTGTTTAGGAGTGACGGAAGGACTTGATAAGTTGTGCAGGAGTGAGGGAAGGACTTGATAAGTTGTGCAGGAGTGAGGGAAGGACTTGATATGTTGTGCAGGAGTGAGGGAAGGACTTGTATTACTGTCTAGGAGTTAGGGAAGGACTGGGGTATGTTGTTTAGGAGTGAGGGAAGGACTTGGTATGTTGTGTAGGAGTGAGGGATGGACTTGGTATGTTGTTTAGGAGTGAGGGATGGACTTGGTATGTTGTGTGGGAGTGAGGGATGGACTTGGTATGTTGTGTAGGAGTGAGGGATGGACTTGGTATGTTGTGTAGGAGTGAGGGATGGACTTGGTATGTTGTGTAGGAGTGAGGGATGGACTTGGTATGTTGTGTAGGAGTGAGGGAGTGAGGGATGAGGGATAGACTTGTACTATTGCGTAGGACTTAGGGATGGACTTGGTATATTGTGTAGGAGTGAGGGATGAACTTGAAGTTTTGTGTAGGAGTGTGGGATGGACTTGTATTATTGTAGGAGTGAGGGATGGACTTGGAATGTTTTGTAGGAGTGAGGGATGGACTTGATGTTTTGTGTAGGAGTGTGGAATGGACTTGTAGTATTGTGTAGGAGTAAGGGAAGGACTTGTAGTGTTGTGTAAGATTGAGGGAAGGACTTGTAGTATTGTGGAGGAGTGAGGGAAGGACTCTGTATGTTGTGTGGGAGTGGGGGATGAACTTGTAGTATTGTGTAGGAGTGAGGGATGGACTTGGTATGTTGTGTAGGAGTGAGAGAACGACTTGTAGTATTGTGTAGGAGTAAGGGATGGACTTGGTATGTTGTGTGGGAGTGGGGGATGAACTTGTAGTATTGTGTAGGAGTGAGGGATGGACTTGGTATGTTGTGTAGGAGTGAGGGATGGACTTGGTATGTTGTGTAGGAGTGAGGGATGGACTTTTAGTATTGTGTAGGAGTTAGGGATGGACTTGGTCTGTTGTGTAGGAGTGAGGAATGAACTTGTAGTATTGTGTAGGAGTGTGGGATGGACATGGTATGTTGTTTGGGAGTAGGACTATATTTTATATATGTTCCTGTATGTAAACATTGTCTAGTATGTTATATATATATTAATTTATAATAATTATGTAATAAGTAAATCAGCTTAACGTTGTGCATTTGTTAGGTAAAATAGTATGGTAATTGGCGGCATGGTATCCACATTGTGTGGGTCACGGCAAGTGCAGGGAGGTAGACGAGCCTGGCTGGTGATAGTGTGTGATGCAAGTGTGGTACAATTGGTCTGGACTCAGGATATATTTATATGGAGATAAGTGGTGTATACTTTTGTACTTTTCTAGTGTATGGTGAGGCTGAGGTTCAAGCATAAGTAATTTAGGCTGTGTCATTCAGGCCTTCACCCCCCCCCCGAGACGCTGGGTTGACGAAACAGCTGAGTGTAAACAATGTGCTGACGTGTGTTAGTGAGTTAGTGAGTTTACACTTACTAAAATTGCAACAGATTCCAAAAGTTAAAATAACTACACAAATTCTTACCAGTAATAAAATGTTCTCCACAAATCACTGCTCGAGATACATATAGTCATGATCTTGTACCGTACTTGGTTACTAATAATTCTGAGCGAGATGTCTTAATGTATTCCAAAAAACACCACAAGTGATAAGTATGAGACACATTTCTGTTATTTTTTGGCAAAATAATATTTCATTCATGCCTCCAGTACATGATAATTACTGTACTTGAACTGTATCTGTACCTGTACTTATTTGTCTCAATTAGATATCTAAATATATCTTGAACGCGGCCTTGTTTTGTTTCCGGACCGACCAAAATAATAAATGTTAAGAATATACCACGAAAACTATATCAAACATTCAATTTTTAAAGAAATATAACTAAAATAAACTTAACATACATAAATATAAAATTTAAAATATTATAAATGATAATATAAATATTATATTAGATAAATATTTCTCAATAATGAAAAAAAAAGAGTGATGGCATTGTTCGTGGCAGTAAACCAACATCAACCACCACAACAATAACACACTTGGACTTGTGCTGAACAGGGAAGGACTTGAGCTGATAAGACGGTGGAGGAGAACACCAGACATTACCACATAGTTCTCTTTATTTCCTGGTAACTGAGTTGTCCTGAGGAGAGACACAAGGTAAGATGAGCTGGTATGATAGTGGCCTGTTACACAATACCTAGTGAGATAAGGGTGTTGGTGGTGGTGGTGGCACTTCCTGGCACCACTGGCTGGGGTGGTGCAATCATGCCACACCCCATAAACTACCCCATACAGTACCCCATACAGTACCCCATACAGTTCCTACAGTACTTACAGTCAGTCTTATACAGTCTTACAGTCCATACAGTTATACAGTGTATACAGTGCCATACAGTGCATACAGGTGCTACATATAGAGTTCCTAATCCTCATAATTCTATACAGATTATACAGACCATACAGTACCCATACTCATAGCAACATGCAGTTACCCATACAGTCCCACAGTGCCCATGCATAGCCAATACTGTATACAGAGCCCATACAGTGCCCATACCAGTGATACACATACAGTCCATACAGTGCATACAGTCATGCATACCCTATACAAGTACCCCATACAGTGCCCATACAGTACATGCAATCATACAGTACCCATACAGTACCCTACATTACCCCATACAAGTACCCATACAGTACCCCATACAGTACCCCATACAGTACCCCATACAGTACCCATACAGTACCCCATACAGTACCCCATACATTGCACACCCCATACAGTACCCATACAGTACCCATACAGTACCCCATACAGTACCCCATACAGTACCCCATACAGTACCCCATACAGTACCCATACAGTACCCATACAGTACCCCATACAGTACCCCATACAGTACCCATACAGTACCCCATACAGTGCCTCCCATACAGTACCCCCATACAGTACCCATACAGGTGGTACCCCATACAGTACCCCATACAGTACCCCATACAGTACCCCATACAGTACCATACAGTACCCATACAGTACCCATACAGTACCCATAGGTGATGGTAGGTTAGGTTAGGTTAGGTTTTCAAAGGCAGGTGCTGGACAACTACTACCCAAGCAAATCATACCCATCAGAACATGTTAAGTCATATACTCAATCACATGATAACTCGTACCCAATTTATGAGGCAGTTTATATATATGTATATATATCATCGCGATCAAAAGCGCATTTCCATTCCGATATATGTCTGACAATAATAATGTCATGGCAATACTTGCTGGGTATGGCTCCGCTATGACGACAATATTGAGCACTGGGGCTACTGGGCAATATTGCTCGAGTAACCTCCTCTGTACAGCCACTATAATATGTAGCTATGACCTTTCTTAAGTTACCCACTCGAACTGACATGTTTTCTCATGTAAGGAGACACTGTCCATTTTCTATAGTACCTTGAGGGCCAACATGACATGTATTGTATGTAAATTATATTTATGATGTAGCTGCAAGATGTTTACGGTAGAGTATACAGTACAGTATATAGCTGAAACATTTAAGAGCCATCGTTGAAAGATTCAACCGTATTTACTTTATAGTAAGATTGTCAAAGTAAGTCGTGTGTTGGAATTGACAATAGAGGCGAGAATACTGTTCCACAATGTGAGACATTGCGGGAGTTCTAGTCATCACTGAAGTCAGATTGTTTTGATTCACAGTCATCAGTTAACCTGATGACTGTATTAAATATTATCAGTTTTGTATTTAAGAAAGTCATTAATCACTTGAGAGAAGCCTGTCAACTGCTCGCTGTGCTGACATTTAACGGCTGGGTAGTAATAAGCCTCTGCTGTATTTACGTCTATTCAGCACAAAGTGTGAGTGCCAGTCTGTGCACCGTTTACCAATTAATTATTGCATTACAAACTCAACCACTGATTAGATTGTAAATGTTGTAAGAAATTAATGTATCCATGACACTGATTCTCATAGCCCAACTGAGTCAAAGGTTGGCATCCTTATTACTTAAACTGGGACACAGGGGAGAAAAGCTTCAGTCTGCTCCCCCTCCTAACAGGTGTGTACTTACTGCCCCTACAACGCCATGTGACAGGTCAGCTTCAGCACGTGTGGAATATGATTGGTGCCCTGTGCATGTCTGTCAAGTATTCACCCAAGCATCAGTGACAATATAGTCAATATGTGCCTCACAGTTCAAGGCTAAATTTAGCGATCTTTATACACCTGTTGATGAAACTATGTTAAATATTGCTGAGGACGGAGAATCACTGAACTTGGAGTCAATTCCTGAAGCTAAATCGCTGTTTTTTGCTGTGACACAATAAGAAGTGATGTTATTTACTGTGTATCACGATGCTCTTTGCTCTATAAAAGCTCTCGGTGTAAGCCTTCAAGAACACACTATTGACACGTTGACAGCCGTGTTAGAGATGAACAGTGTTGTGGTGGCACTCAGTACTGACACCATTATACGACCACTACCTTGTGCAGTATAAACAGAAAGCCAATTAATAGATTGGTATTATTTTATGTCGGTCATCCGGGGAATCTTAGGAATTTAGGTTAGGTTAGATATAGTTCCTGGGTTCTGTGGTTAGGTAGGTATGGATATTTTAATACAAGGATGATCAAAACTAAAATTATACCAATACTGTTGATCTAACATGCCAGTATTTTACCAGAGATAATATTTCCTTCATAACACGTCAATTCCTGTCGTTGACCATGGTTTATTGTGTTGAATTTTGTGGTTAAATTAATTTAATGTAATAAGTTTGGGTTATTTTGGTTTATTGTGTCAACTTTTAATGGCTTGGAGTACAGGAGAACGGAATATATTAATAAACTTTTCTTTGACAATAGTGAGGTCTTGTATATTATCAGTAAAAGACCAGCATGTTATTTTCTGTATTATTAAACAAATGTTTTTTAATTACTTTTAATTAAAAGTTTATGTAGATTATACAATATACACATAATGCTCCACCTCTCTAGGCACAACCCTGGGCTGACCTCATACCTCTAGGAGTCAACACCACCGTCTTGTGAGTCAGAGACAGACAAGACTCTACCTTCACCATCAACACTGAGTCAACACCACTGTCTTGTGAGTCAGAGACAGACAAGACTTTACCTTCACCATCAACACTGTAAAATATACCAATAATTTTTTTCAGATTCAGAAACAATGCCGATAGACACACAAGAAGCACTCAACCTGTTGGCCCAGGTGTGTGAGGAACAGGAGCTCGGCGTAACAGTGAAAGAGAGCGTTAAGGGCGGAGTCATAGCTGGAGGAGCCACCATGATTGGTGGCCTCCTTGGTGGACCATTTGGATTGGCTATTGGTATGTTGACCCCGAGGTAGATCACACGTGTTGTCTTAACATGAGCTGTGCTTTATAAACTGTAAGATCACAGATGTTGTCTTAGATAACCTACTAGTACAGGTATACAGTACAGATATAACACTAAATGGTACAGCATCACTAAATAACAAATATAACATAAATTACTTGGTTGACTCATAACCAAAGGTAGACAGTTGTGCCACAAAGAGTTGCGGCTCAACTTACGCAACTCTTTGGGTTGAGCGTGCTGTTAAGCCTTTTATTTTCAGAGAGTTGCGGAACTGGTTGTGGCACAACTTTTACGAGCATTTTCAAGCTCAAAGCGCAAAAATTTTCAGCAATAATCGAAAATTGGAATACGACCACATAAACAGACGGGCATCCCTAGAGCCGCGCGTACAAAATTTCTGTTTCTGACGGAATGACTCAGCATACACATGATACAGGTCTGGCATCATATTTCTGAACTGTAGACCAGATGAGACCCTCGTCCCCCCCTTCGCTGTAGTTGCCAGATTTTATCTTTCACATAAACTCGAGGAACTAGAGTTTTAATGTGATAGATGAAATCTGGCAACTACACGAGGAAGGGGAGGAATGATTCATATCATAACCAGTCAGGCAGTCAGTAGCACTGCAGTTAAGGCATCAGTTTCTTGTTGTTTTGTTTCTTGTTATTACTAGTATTATGGATCATTGTGTGATGAGGAGGAGTTTAGCAGTGATCCTGCCGACCAGGACGTGGACTCAGTTGAAGTGACTGAGACTGTTGACAGCCAGTTCACTGAGACTGGGGCCAGTGGCAGTGAGTAATTTTTTGGTAATAAAATATTGATAATATTAACTTTTTTGTATCAATTATATTTTGTTTTACTTGTAATCGGCAATTTATTTTATTTAGTATTTGTTTATTTTATTTTTTTAAGTTGCGTGTTGTGGTTGCAACAAAACTTTTTGAATATGGTTAAGGCTTAAACTATTTCAGCATAGTTACGGCGATGCAAAAAAAGTTGCGTGCCTTTAGGGTAGCATATTGGTTCACACCTCAGGATGGGATGGAGAAAGAAACTCACATGTCACTGTATACATATTGTATTGGATGTACAATGCAGCTTGTTGCTGGGTAGGTAGCATGGTAATAAGCGTTGAGTAGAGAGAGCTGGGTGGTGAGGGTGCCCAGAGGAGGGACACGAGGCTTGAGGGACGCCAAGGTCGCTGGCGGAGCGGCAGCCACCAGGCTGGCGCGGAGGAGGAGGTGGTTTTGGGTGGCACTGTGTAGAAAGAGGTGGTAACAGCGTGTCAGGCCTTATATGGGATAGGTGTGGGTAGATAGTTGACCCCGCCTCCGTGGGGCGCGCTGGAGGCGTAGGCTGGGGAATTCGAGAAGGTTCGGTGCTTGTAGGGGAGGAATCCACTACATGCCCACCTTTGGTCATAAGTAGGCAGCTACCAAGCAGAGGTACTACCACCTGGGAAGATATTGGAAGCATAATGTGTTGTCTAATGGTAGACCCAGCTGTCATATGTGACCAAGTCCCAGGTTGATGATCTGCCTTTCTGCCTCATTTACACACAATTGTTGGGTCTCAATTATTTCTCTTGCAACACAACACAACACAACATACATACAGTATATTTCTCACAATTGATCTTTTTTTCATTTTGTATTTACTTATTATTATTATTATTATTTTATTTTGTATTTTGAATTAATTTGTATTAATGTTTATTATTGCTTTTATTGCTATTTTTATTATTATTATTTTTATTATTATTATTATAATGACAATATTTTTGCCCCCCGGGCCCTGATGTAGTCATTGACCTGTGCCCAGGTGGGCTAAACACTGTAAAAGAAAAAAAAGAAAAGACAAAAGGTAAATTATTTAATAAAGCATCAAGAGATATGAAGGCTGTTGTACATGTGGTAACATTGTCACTCAGTCAATATCTATCTTTTTTTAACTCTCTCACTAGTGTCTGTCTCTCTGTTGTTACCATACACAGTGACCTTTTAACCTGCCCCTCCCATAACAAATTCTTCAACTTGTTTAATAAGGAAAATTACCTTAAAAGTTCTAACTTAATATTTATTTACAAAAGTAACTAAAGCTGATGACGGAATTTTATACAAAATATATACAACAAAAGACATCAGAAAACTCAAGTAATAATAAATGAACATTAAATCCTAACCATCAGACTGTAATATATAATGACTAAATCATAAACATCACCATATAATAACTCTGGCAAATAAGAGTAAACTAACACTCAACACTTATGGTTTAGGAGACAGGAGACCAGATGTTGACCTCACAGCCTATACTCAGTAACTGACTCTGGAGCACACCAGTTGTTCCACCTCCCGACCAGGACCAATCACAGGGCTCCACATACTATGGTACTAAGACCGGCCTGTTATACCTCAGGCTAACTGATGACCAGAGCCATCTTGTGACCATAGTCTTCCCGACATAAACTGAGAAGTAGTTTATCATAACACTCTCTCTATCTATGTACCTACCTACCTAACTATTTATCAGGAGGAGCCCTCGGGGGGATAACAGCAGCGTACATGTCCCAGGGAAAGTTCAAGAGTGTTGCCTCGGTCATCCTGTACGACCTAACTTCCGCCCAGAAAGAACACCTCGCTAACTCTGTCAGGGTAAGTTTGACCTTTGACCTGTTTTACACCACTAATTTATCTTAATTTTCTTTACCTCACCAGCACAGTACAGTACAGTAACATGCAGTCCCACTTCTCAGGTACAAGACTGACTTAAATTTACTTTCATCTGTATAATAATATTTTCTGCTTGAGAGGAACAAACAATTCATCCAGTTCTTCAGTTTACTTGTATAGGAAATACTTTAAGTAATACAGTGAACCCTTGAAGACCCGGACTAAAAGGGGACCACCTGTCCGAAAAAGCCGATTGTCTGTCTCTTCTGGCAAATGTACTTAATGTATAGAAACGATAAATAATGATATAAAAAACTCTGAAATTACAGTACCATATTTTCCGGCACATGAGACACATCCCCCACTTTACCGGGGAGTATTTAAGAACAATCTTTTGTGTGTTTTCTTCCTGTAGCCATAATTTTCTTATTCTTATAATAATATACACAGTAGTAAACGACCAGGAAATGTGAGGAACAAAAAAAAATACTGAAATACAGTGATATCCCCGTTAGCCGGAACAATTGGTGCAGAGCATTTCCAGGAATGAGAGATTTCCGGCTAATGAGACGACTTTCAAAGCCGGAAAAAACTCCCCCATTCCTGGAATTTTCCGGATACCGGGAAAATTTTCTCGGAATTTTCCGGAAAATGCGCCCCTCAGAAAATCATCCCCAAAGCCGGAATTTTCTAGAAAATTATGGCTATGGGAACGATTTTCCGAGAAAATCTCAATTCCGGCCGTCGGAGAGTTCCGGGTTTGAGGGATTACGGCTAGAGGAGAAATTGCTACCAATAAATAAGTTACAACTAAATATACTGCACAGCGTTCCCAAACCAGTAAATAAAAGGCAAATGAAAGTTTAACACAGTCGCCATTTGCATACACTTCCTGCTTCACCATAGCAACAGAGACCAACTGGGATGCCAATTCCCTAGCAATGCTCCCCCCCCCCCACACCCTCCTTCCTCCTCCCCTCCCCCACTGAGCCAGCTAACTCGTGGACAAAGAAATGTATATTCCCTTTATGTGTTTGCCCTTAGAACAATTATTTCTTGTACTTTTTTAACAATATGTAAGTAGGATGATGTGTGCAGAGTAAAAATAGATAAAGTTATGTATATCTGCCCAAAAACACAAGTTGAAAAACAACCATAACACCTCACACCCTGGGCCAGTCGTCTGGTGGTTACCATGATGAGTTTAACCTGGCTACAATGCCATGATTAATCACTGTTAAGCATTATTATATCAGTAAACACCACACCCGCTGCCAGGTGGAGATACGTATGGGAGAAATACATATCTTGTAATGTGAACACAGTGACGGGCAGCGATAAACAAATTATATAAACCGCGCATCTACCCGTCCCCAGATTGTGTCCGCATCTCCCAAAATCTGGATATACCCGGTCCGAGTCTTTGAGGGATCACCGTGTACCCGATAGTTGCAATAATTGTTGTATAATGTTTTCCTGTTGCCGCGTTGGAAATATTTCCGGGTATTCAGATGAATTCTTATCTCTGAAAAACTTGCACATTTACGTAATTTTTTCGGGACGTCGCCGAATGTTTCTGTGTGTAAACTATGTGTCTGTTATGTTTTCATGGGTGGAATATGAGGAGAGGTCAGAGGGTACGAGCACCATTGCTAGGGATAAGCAGCTAGGCAGCGGTCCAGCAGGGTGTACACTGACTTGTATCATTATTGCTGCTTTTATGATTAAATTATTGTTATTTATATGCTTTTGTTATTTTTGTTTTTACTCTAGTAAGTAACAAAGAAAAACTACACCTCTGTCCATTGGTCAACTTTGGCCTAAACTAAACAGAGTTGAAGTAATGCAGGAGCTGTTATAGCTCTACTGTACCATTTATATCTTCCTATAGTATATTTGTATGCAGTAAAACCTTTATTTAATGGGCTATATGAGTGGAAGTTCTGTTATATAGAGGGTCTATTAGATGTGAAACCCCTCATATAACGGGTTATAGATGAGAGAAATCCGTTATAACGAGGTTCACCAGTAACAGTCATAATAGTATGTAGTGACTGTTCACGTCCGGTCTATAACTGTGTCCTGTTTGAGAATTACTGCCAGGCTAAATGTGGAAAATATGCCCTGATGAGACACCTTAATGCTACCTGGGGTTAGGTTAGGTTAGGATAGTATTAGGATGGTTAGGTTAGGTTAGGATAGTATTAGGATTGTTAGGTTAGGTTAGGCTAGTATTAGGGTGGTTAAGTTAGATTAGGTTAGTATTAGGCTAGTTCTGTTATTAGTTAAATTAAGATGTTTAGATCTTAAATGTTTATTGCCATGATAAATGAACAGAGATTGAGGATGACACTATAACACGTACACTATAACACGTACACTATAACACTATAACTCACTATGCACCTCTACTTACAGTGTATGTGGCATGGCAGTTAACTCTCCTTCTATAATCCAATACGATCTGACAATTTAAACTTTTATTCACATAAATATTTGACCCTAACTTGTTTTATATAACAATTTAGAACCTTCACCTCAAACAGCACTGACTTATCCTGAAGTAATAGATGGTTGTTGTGATACAGTTAATATATGTGTGGAGGAAATCATCGATAAAGTTACTTGGTGTGATGGCTAACACAATTAAGAATACCTATAACAGTTTTTAATACCATCAAGATATTATATGTTGGTTTAGGTTGAGATCCTTGATGTTGGAAGGTTATTTGTTGTAGTGTGTGGGTTATGAGTCATGTTGTAGTGTGTGGGTTATGAGTCGTGTTGTAGTGTGTGGGTTATGAGTCATGTTGTAGTGGTGAGTCATGTTGTAGTGTGTGGGTTGGTGATCATGCTGTAGTGTGTGTGGGTTATGAGTCGGTTGTAGTGTGTGGGTTATGAGTCATGTTGTAGTGTGTGGGTTATGAGTCATGTAGTAGTGTGTGGGTTATGAGTCATGTAGTGTGTGGGTTATGAGTCGTGTTGTAGTGTGTGGGTTATGAATCATGTTGTAGTGTGTGGGTTATGAGTCATGATGTAGTACACTGACCTCTCACTTAACATGGAGTTTGTTTCCCCATCAGATGCCGTATAGAGTGAACCCATTATATAACAAGGAGAGATACACCAGGTGGTCCCCCTCCCCTCACTTACCAAAGGCATCATACAGCTATAAAGTACAGTAGTTCACTAATACACATACATCTACCAAATGATGTTGTGGAGGTGCTGGTGTGTCCATTAAATCAGTTACCGAACAACAAAACAAAAGCTAACTAATAATAAATGGTATACAACTGCTGTAATTGACTACCTAACTCAGTAAAAGTATTAATAAAATACCCATTGGTGTCTAGAATCCAGATGAAAATATTCTGCTAAAGCCATTCAAAAAAACCTCGAATGAAAGTTCTGTTCTCCTCAGCAGTCCTCTTGATGGTGAGACGATAAAGCCATAATGTTGGGAAGATAAATATAAATATCTCCTTCTTTTTAATAATTTATATGCACATACAATCCTACACACAGAATGTGCAAAAATAAAGTATTATTATGAGGTAAAAAACTTAAAGAGAATAAACATTTCTTTGTGTGTTGACTCAACGGAGAAATCACTCCGGTAAGGGTGGTGGACTGGCCTCCCTCTAGTTGCTGAAAAATGTCTAACTTAATTTCCAGGATAAACTTGGTCCTGTACTTATTAACTGGAGTGTTCCTAGACAGAGGGACACTAGAGAATGTTTAGGTGGAGCCATAGTGGGAAAAGCAGGCAAAAAGTGAAGTTTTTAGTTGTGACTGACTGAGCAATAGATAAACTCTGGATCAACGTGTGACGTGGGGACGCTACCCATGAACTGTAATGGACTCGACCGTCAGCTGGTTTGGCTGGCCTGCTCAACGCATTTTCTAACTGACCGCCTTTGACCGAATTTTCCCCTGAGAACGAACCCATGTTAAGCAAAGGGGCAGTGTAATATCAATTGTAGTGTGTGGGTTATGAGAGCCTTGTTGTTGTAATGTTATTAGTTATGGTGTGTGGGTTGTGTGCTTCAGCAAGTCCCTTGTACTGTGTGTTGATTACAGGTGTTCCTGAGCAACATATCACTGAAGGGCGTGGCAGGTGGAGTCTCCAAGCTGCTCCTTAGTCCAGCAGCCAAGATGATCCTTATCCAGATGGTGATTCAGTTCCTCATTAATGCCCTGCCAATAATTTTCCGGTGGGGCAAAGAAAAAAGAATTAACGCCAAGGCCCCCAAGACTCCATCTAGGGTGTAACTGTGTGACCAACTGTGTCATCTAGGACAAGGGTCGGGGAACTTTTTTGGGTATTACCCAAAAAAAATTTTGAGTAAAATGAAATTACCCCCAGACTTCAAAGTACACTAGTACAGTAAACAAAAACAAGCCAATTTGCTCCTAAAATTGTTGGATATGGTATGGAAGTGTCTCTCATACCACATGCATTACCCCCACAATTTTTAGATCTACCCCATTTGGGGTAATTTACCCCTGTATCATCTAGGGTGTAACAGTGTGACCAACTGTATCATCTAGGGTGTAACAGAGTGTATCATCTAGGTCTAGGGTGTAGCAGTGTTATTGAGCAGAACATTTTTGGATGTAAATACTGTAGTAGTAACTACAGTTCAGTACAGTTCAGTACAGCACAGTACAGTACAGTACAGTTCAGTACAGTTCAGTACAGTACAGTACAGTTCAGTACAGTTCAGTACAGTTCAGTACAGCACAGTACAGTACAGTACAGTTCAGTACAGTTCAGTACAGTTCAGTACAGCACAGTACAGTACAGTACAGTTCAGTACAGTTCAGTACAGTTCAGTACAGTACAGTACAGTTCAGTACAGTTCAGTACAGTTCAGTACAGCACAGCACAGTACTGTTCAGTTCAGTACAGTACAGCACAATACAGTTCAGTACAGTACAGTTCAGTACAGTACAGTTCAGTACAGTACAGCACAATA